CCTCCCACCTCGGTCCTTATGCCCATCTGCGCCCTTTCATCTCTGTCCTGCCCTCCACACCTCCCCATCCAGCCTTTCTTCGCCTCCTCCATCCTCACAGTCATCCTCAGCCCTATCCACCCATCCATCCATCCCCCCTTACTCCCATCTGTCCATTTCTGCTCCCTCCACCCTTCCAGTCATCCTCATCCTGCTTCTGCCCATCCTTCCGCCCATCCCATCCATCCATCCATCCATCCATCCATCCATCCATCCATCCATCCCTACCTCCCTCCCTCCCTCCCTCCCTCCATCCCTCCACCCACACGCTCCCTCTCTCCATCCCTTCCCAAAGCCTTTCCAGACATCACAACCTTCCCCTGCATCCCTCCTGCCTCTCCACTCCTATCCCTTACCCTCCTATCCCTCTTTCCTCCCTCCATCCCTGCCTCCCTTCGGCCAGCCCCGAGCCCCCAGCCGCCCCCCAGCCCCCCCAGCCCCGCTCCCTCTGCCAGGGGATGATGCCGGGGGGCACCGAGTGACGCTGCCCCCATGGTGGGGAGTGGTGGGCAGCCCCTGGCCCCACCTTGGCAGGCGACACCCGCCGTCACCCGGCCCTGCGGCTGCCCGTCCTGCTGCCAGCGCCGGGTTGTGGCCCTGTCCCCTCGTTGGCATTTCCCAAGGATGCAGCCAAGCCCTCCAGCGTTGGTAAATATTAGCTTGGAGGCAGCGCGGGTGCCAGGCGTGGAGGGCAGCACCCGCGGGTCGGGTGCCAGGGCCCTGCCCGCCCTGCACTCCGCATCCATCCTGCGCATTGGATCCTTGCACCGCTYCACATCCATCCCATGCATTGGATCCCTGCACCGCTCCACATCCATCCCATGCATTGGATCCCTGCACCGTTCCGCATCCATCCTGCACATTGGATCCCTGCGCCATTCCGCATCCATCCTGCGCGTTGGATCCCTGCGCCATTCCGCATCCATCCCATGCATTGGATCCCTGCGCCGCTCCGCATCCATCCTGTGCCTCAGACTGTCGCATGTCTGGGCACCCTCCATAGCCTCAGGTCTATGGGGGACATGTCCCCCACCCCATGGGGACCCCTTGGCAAGGGGGTCCCCACACGCAGCAGCAGCACTGGTTGCCCCCCCATCCTGCCGGGAGCCCCCAGGCGATCGGGATGCAGCCCAGGATGCTCCCGGGGGCACAGGCATGAGGCTGCGTGGGCCGGCGCCGGAGCGAGTGGGAAGAAAGCGGCTTTTGTGCGCGGGCTCCGGAGCCTCGCCAGGAACCGGGAAACGTGCTGTTTTCTGATGCTAATGAGACGGGAAAAATAAGCTCACGCCGCAGCCATGTTGGGGCTGCTCCAGGCGGCGGCGGCGCCGGACAAAGGGGCTTTGTGGCACCGCGAGGTGGCCCCAGGCCGGCCGGTCCTGCGAGCGAGTGGGACCAGTCCCGGCTCCGAGGGGTGCTGCATCCTGGCATCGTGATCCCGGCTGCCTCCTGACCGAGCCGGCTCTGCTGCCCCTTTGGTCGCACGGCACCAGGGCTGGGAACAGTGGATCCTGGAGCCCCAGGGCAGCAGGGCTGGGAACGGGTGGATCCTGGAGCCCCAGGGCAGCAGGGCTGGGAACGGGTGGATCCYGGAGCCCCAGGGCAGCAGGGCTGGGAACGGGTGGATCCCGGAGCCCCAGGGCAGCAGGGCTGGGAACGGGTGGATCCCGGAGCCCCAGGGCAGCAGGGCTGGGAACGGGTGGATCCCGGAGCCCCAGGGCAGCAGGGCTAGGAACGGGTGGATCCCGGAGCCCCAGGGTGTTCAGGCTGGGAACGGGTGGATCCTGGAGCCCCAGGGTGTTCAGGCTGGGAACGCTGGATCCTGGAGCTCTAGGGTGTTCGGGCTGGGAACAGGTGGAACCTGGAGCCCCAGGGCAGCAGGGCTGGGAACGCTGGATCCCGGAGCCCCAAGGCAGGGAATGKTGGATCCTGGAGCCCCAGGGCCTCACGTGTCCCCGCGGTCCCGCTGGCATCAGCGGCCGGGCCGGCCACGCAGTGAAGAATTCGAGAGGGGCCYGGGCGGCCGCGGAGCTGCCGCATGAAGGGGCCCTTTGTCCCCGCGCAGGGGCGGGTGTCCCCAGCCGGGGCCAGCCCGGGGAAGGGGGACACGGGCAGGACGGCGCCCGGAGCAGGGCCCCCGTGCAGCCCAGGGGCGCCGGCTCCCATGGGGACATCTCCACGCCCGGGGCTCCGGCGGGAAGGGGAGGATGGAGCCGCCGGGTCCGTGGCCCCATTCTGTCGCGCGCGCCCCGGATCTGCCGCTTTCGGGGTGATCAAAGCGGCTCCCGGGGGTGGGAAGGGCCGGGCCCCATCCCGCCCGGGACAGGGGGACGTGGGAGCAGGGCCAGGGCCCCCCTCSGCCGCAGCCCCGGGCAACACACACCACACAGAGCCCTTGCCAAAGGTTTTATTTCAAACCCGCTCTCTCCCCTCCCACCCCCCATCAAAAAAACCAAAAACAACCCAAAAAAACCCCAAAGCATCAGTCAAAATGACAATAAAAAGGAGCTACAAACACAAAAGGCGCTTCTTCCTCACTGACAACTTACAAAAAACTGGGAACGTCACACGAGCCTCCCCCCAGAGGCGCGGCGGCGACCGAGGTCCCTGCCCGCGCACCCCAACATGCCTATGGATACAGTATGTACAGGCGACCCCCCAGGTACAGCCGGTCACCCCGCCCCTACCCCCAAAAATAACCAAACACACCCAAAGTGCATTTGTTGTGTTTATATCAAAAAAACACTTCTTTTTCTCTTTGTAAGATTGGCCTGCAAGTCTGTTTTACCATTTAGTAGCTTTCTTTTTTTTATATATAGTTTATGAAAATAAATTATACAGCAACCATTTTAATAAATTAAGCACACACACACAAAAAAAAGGAAAAAAATTAAAAAAAAAAATCAAGCAATGCTGCATTTCTACCCAAGGGTGGTTGGAGAGGCCAGGGCACCCAGTGCCGCCCTCACATGGGGCCCCAGGAGGTCCTGCTTGCTGCTCCCCTGGCGTTTGCCAGAATCCGTGATTTTTGCCCATTTCCACTCCCCTTTTTCAACCGGAAGTGCCTGGGGCCCCCGTGGTGCTTTTGGGCCCAAAGCAGCAGGAGGAAGCGGGGCCAGCCTGGCCCCATGTCCCTGCCGGAGCCTGGGGACAGCTGGGCTCGGGACCTTGGGTCCTGCCCGCTGTTCTGCACGGAAGACTCTGGATTGGGAGGGAGCTGCCAGGAAAGCGGGGAGGAGAAGGGGAGGGCTACAGGTTTCCTCAGGAATGGGATACGGAAACCTCTTTGCCTCGGAAAGCCAAGGTGAGAGGGAGCCCTCTGGGGCCCCAGCGAGCCCTTGAGCCAGGCAGCTTTGGCTCCACAGGGACAGGAGTCACCGAGATGCCAGATTTTGACTGAAGAGCAAGGGGCAACAGCCAGATCCCTGCCTACAACCCCCTCCTCCGCGCAGCCTCCCGACCGGACTCAGCCCTTGGACCCTACTGAGACACTTGTGGGGCTCCAGAGGGTGCCAGCTGCTTTCCAAAGCCCGGCCTTACACGTTCTCACATCCCTGGAAGAGTTTTTCCTTCCCTCTTCCTGCCAGACATCCCTTGCACATTGGGTCATCCTCGGGACGACGCCTCACGCGACGCGCGTGAACCAGTGGGCTGGGATTGCAGGAACTGCAGGAATYGCAATCCCGCAGGACCCAGCAGCACCAGCCCCTGCAGGGAGGAGATGCAGGCCTGGGCACAACAGCTCCCCAAAGCCACCGTGCCCTGGGACACGGTCATCGCGACGACAGGTACCTCCCAGGTCTGCAAGCTCCGCGCCCCTCAGCTGCGAGGGCAAAGTCCCCCGCTCCTCCACCACGCAGCTTTTCCRGGTGTCCTCCTTCCTACAGGGAAGGCTGAAGAGCATCTGCTGCCCTCAATACTCCCATTTGCTGCAGAGCAACAGGAGGGTCTTGTCATACCAAGCACCACCTGCATCCCGCAGCCTCTTATTAAACACCCCATGTGATGTTTTTTCCATCATCTCAGTTTTGCAAAAGCTTGCCGAGATCTCAGTGTCTAMAGTGAAAAATCTTGGTTCCTCCCTAAGAGGGGGGACTTCTCCCATGCTCATGTTTCATGCAAGAGCAGGAGCACCAGCCTTTGGAGAACRCCTCTCAAGGACAGCAAGCGACCCAATTCAGACTCTTCAGGTAGCGCTCCCAAAGCCTGGCTGCTTCGGGAGCACTTCCCAACGCCCATCAGCTTCCCCACCTCCCTCGGCTGCTCCGCAGGGACACGGCCACAGTCACAGCAAGCTGCATGTGCATTTAGGGCAGCAGAGCACACAAAAGCTGCTGCCAACAGCAGTGGGAGAGCAGCAGAGCGTTTCCCTGCAAAGCATCCCACTCTGGGGAGCAGTTTAGTGCGGTTTTACCCATGCTCCAGAAGGCTCCCGGCTCCCTCTGRGCTCCAACAAGGGCAGAGACCGGTTCTACACCAATTCCCAGTGTCTGGCAAGTGCAACTTCCCCCTTGGCTTCCTCATTCAGGTTGTTATTCCTCCCCAAAAGCAGCTTACATTTATCTACCCCARAACAAGGAAGGAAGGGCTGAAAATGCTGTTACTACCACCGCACTGCACTGCCCGTGCAGTGGCCACATCACCCTCACATCCGTATCTCCAGCCGTGCTTTTTCCGGAGAGAAGCTTCAGGAGAGACACTTGCACAGGGCACACGGTGGCTTTGCTGGCGCAGGTTCAGACCCGTAGGGAATTAGTCCACGCTTGGCTCCTGGGCAGACTTTCCTTTCCAGTGTATGAAAAAGCTGAAAGACTCAAAGACTCAAATCCTCAGTGCACAGAACAGCCGAGGTGCAACAGGGCCACGTGCCCTGATTCTGCTGAACGAAGGGTCTTGTGTGCACGAGTACACGGATGCTTTTCCCAACATTGCTCCAATTTGCTGTGCGTTTCTTAGCCCAAGCAATTGCTTTTTTCCAAGCTCTGCTGGTAACTTGGGAGGAGATGCAGGTCTTGAGCAGCGGAGAGGGAATATAGAAGAGGAAAGAGGGGGATGAATTCCCGGTCCCGCTTCACGGATAGGGCACGTGAGCTCAGATTTCACCGGGGGTTGGGATACCCCACGCAGCACATCCTGGGGGCAGGTACCCTTCCTAATGCCCATCGCCCCGAACATGGAACACAGTCATTAGCAGGTAGTGTCTGATATGAGGTATTTCTACAGATTTTTGAAGCTTGGCTATTAGTTTCATCTGGAAGTCAAACCCTTTTTGTTTAAAAAACAAAACCCACACTTGTTTCCAAGCCTCAAACAGAGGCCAGAGGTGATGGTAAGAAAGGGAGGCCAGAATTTGTTAGCACCCTTTGCAGCAACACTTGGCAGAGGCAAACGATCGGGATTTTTTTCAAGGTTGCTTTAAGATCCGCACGACTGTGTCTAATTCAAGCACGTTGCTCATTCTATAGGGCAAGGACAAAGTCTTAACCGCCCCGGAATGACGGCATCCCGCTCGCAGGGCACTGACCTCGGCAGATCAACAGGCTCCTCGGAAGGCCCGGGCCACACACAGCAGCTCATTTTGGGGACCCTGCGCTGCACCCATTTACTTCATCCAAGTGGAGGGCTCAGGAACACGTGTTCACTCACACAGCGTGGGAGGAAGGATCCTCTGAGCAAGGGTTCGCAGCACCGCTTAGCGCAAGCATTGAGCTGTACCATGAAATGCAAACTCTCCACAGCTGCTGCAATGAATGAAACAGCAGACGAGGACGCTAAGAGCCACTACAGCCAAGCCTGGAAACGCAGTAAAGGGGGTTATTTTTCTTTTTTGTTCATTTTTCTTTTCTCATTAGTCCTGATTTGTTGCATTTCTGTGGGCATCCCAGGGAGAGGAGGAGGCTGCAAGCAAGCTATCCCAGAAGTATTCCCAGTCATCTGCTTCTTGCTCTGAGTCACACCAAAGATGCCTCTTAATGCCCAAGTACTCATCAAGCTCCTTCACACCACCCACCGCATTCACAGTTTCAGGAGAAAGGCTAAAAGAGCGTGTCTCAAGGCTCTGCAAGGCTGATATTACTTTAGAGCAAGTACCTGTGGTCCCTGGACTGCAGCAACAACTCGGCCACCTTCCACTTATTACAGAAATCCTGAGTGACCTCAGCGTGCAGCTCTTCAGCAGAATCTTCCAGTGTTTGCTAAGTGGAATGAGGCTTCCTCAGAAGAAGGAAGGCTTCCATCCTTTGCTCCCCGCTGCAGCAGCAGCCCCTCCATTTGGCAGAAGGCTCCGGGACATCAAAACAGCTCACGTGCTCTTCCTTCCTCGCACCTCACTCTTACAGGACTGCCTACAAATGCAATTGCAGGACCGTGCTGCCCAATTTGGCCCCCGTCTCCCAAATCCTAGAAAGCAGGGCAGCTAAACAGCCGCACACTGTCCATATTCCCCAGAGGTGAATAGCTGCACATGAATCTGGCTCAATCTGCCTCGGAAGCAGCTCTCTGGCCGCAGTCCCTTTTGGTGAGAGCCAAAGAACAGTCTTACCATGATGCTTGCAGCAGATGATCTTCCTAGAGAGTCACCTTCTCTCTCTCTCTCTCGCCCCCACCTTGAAGGTTCCAAGGGAGGATAATAAAATTCAGCTGATCATAAGACAATATTTCCCATGCTGAAAATAAACAACAAAAAAAAAAAATGAAGACATCAAAAATAAAACTTTCAAAAAATCGTAAATAGTGCCATGACATTCTTTGTTCTGCAAGGAGTCCGTGAGCTGGGCTCAGCTCTCTCCTGAGACTCTCTCCCTCAGCCGGGAGCTGAGGCTCTTGTTCCTGTTCTGCTGTGCTTCTTAAGAGTCTTAAACCCTCTTCCGTATACAAAAGAGCTTGAGAGCAGAAGTCACACTGCAGAAGCAGCCTTCACTTTCGTGTGCTTTGTTCCCACCACAGCCTGACTTGGGCTACAGGATGGCAACAATCAAAYTCCTAGGGGGAGAGAAGAGAAGAGAGAGATGAAATACCCCACTTGACGCAGCAGAATCTAACCTAAACTGGAGCTGGTTTGGCACAAAACTCCCTCTGAGGAGCAGGGGCTTGTGCAGGTACCAACGAGCACMAGAAAGTGGCCGTGTCCTCTTAGCCAGGATCGTGTCTCCTTTGCATTCAGATGGAACAGACCAGTTTACACCCGATTCCATGGGATACTGCATGGGCCAGCAGCACACGCTTACCATCAGTGACAGCAACAAGACGGGAGAGGCAGCCTTGCTACGTTGAAGCTTCGGTCTCCTGCTTCTGTTTGGAGATCATTTGAGCTTCCTTCAGGGACAGGTACACCTCCTCCTGGGGGTCATAGTAATAGAACTTCCGAATGTAGGAGATGAGAGGCCTGCAGAAGGTACAGACACRCGTGTTACCAGCAAGCAGAGCAGCTTCCAAGCAGGCAGTCCATCCAGCACCATCACCAAACAGAAATCTGTTCTGCTACAGTTGTTGTGATGGACAACACCCCATCCCRGGCTGGCCACCTCTCCCATCTACTGCTGCTCCCCAAACCCACGGGACACCGGGCCTKCTGTCCCAAGGCTGCAGACATGAACTGCTCCTTCCCAGCGGGTTTGTTGCCTTTGCTGCTCATACAGATTCCTCTCTTTGCTGTCTGCTGGTGGGGAATCCAAAAAGCCATTCCCAGTCCGGGCCAGGAGACTCACTTGGGCAGMGGGAGCTCTGGGATGTGGTCTATGCGGACCAGCTGCCTGATCCGGAAGCGGCAAAGGTGCTGAAGGGATTTGACGTTGCTGAACCTGGAGACTGGATACAGCAGCTGGACAGGTGTTGGAGGGAGACCTTGAAAAACAACATGGAAGAACAGTGTTATATCAGAAACAAATCAACCAGCTACAAATTCACACAGAAAAGATGGTTTGTGCTAACCAGAGCTCCTGCAAGACTGCATCTACTTGTCAGGAGGTCTTCCCAGAGGCCCATTGCCTTGAAGTTGCCCAGAAATGGCTGGCCAGATTTCCTTTGAGCAATCTCCCTTTGACTGCAGAAGTTCTCCCAGTTTTCCTGCGACTCTCCCATCCAGCTAATGCCAAACGGTGACTGGGGCTACCAGTGGTAAAGCAGATTCTGGGATGCTGTAGGTTCCTAAAGCCCTCCCTCTCCCAGGATTAGTAGATGAAGCATTGCTTTATCCTGAGAAGCAACAGGCCTCTGAAAGCCATCGGATTTCAAGGATGTGGAAGAAAGTGAAAAGGCAGCCAGCAGGACTGGCACACAGGCTTTGCTCTGCCTAACCCCTYGGGTCCCTCTGGCAGAGGGGATTTAGTCGAGCTCAAGCTGTGCAAGAGTTGCTCATTGGTGGGGTCACGAGGCCGGGCTCCAAGGCGGAGGCAGGAGGACTCCCCATGCARCCAGCGACCTCGCACAGCTCCAAGGAGGCTGCGTTCAGCTCTTCCTCCTGCCCCAATCTCCTCCTCCTGCCCCAAAGTTAAGAGCAGCAATCAAGCCCACAGAACCAAGGGGGCAGCAGGAGTGCTAGAAAGGATCTTTGGGAGCTGGGCTCCTTCACAGCACAAGGTTTCATCTGTCTTTGCAGAAGGATTCAAAGCTAGTTAGACTCTAACCCCCTCCTGCTGGCTCGTCTCTGAGGGCAATGGAGCGAAAGGAGAAAAGGGAAAGCTCTTCACACTAAGATGGGCTCAAAACTGCTCCAGGCAGCTCAGGAAGCTGAGCCAGCTTTTGAGCAAGCGAAGAACAGGAATCAATTGAAGGCCGAACTCCCCCCGCTACCCTTATTCTCCTCCCRAAAAGGAATTAGCCTCTGGAGCTGAGCCAGCAAGCGCGGCAGGAGCTCTGCCCGCTGCAGCAGCCACGTGCCCTGGTGCCAGGGTCGGCTGCACGCGGCCAACAGCCCCGCTCCTCAGAGGGGCAATTAACACCGCGATGTTAATTGCTGTTAACTGCCCCACTGCAACGGGCTGAGAGCACCAAGGAGCGCACCGGGGGGACCCACATCCTCCACATGCTCCCACTAAGGACCAGGCATCGAGAGGATGCTGCTGCTTCAAGGATTGAGGCTGGGCAGCTGGACAGAGCACCCAGGTCTGGTGCTGCATCCCAATGGAGAGAGGCAGGATCCTGGAGAGGATCCTGCCAGGAGAGGGAGGGGATGGAGGGGATGGGAGCTGGGCTGCACGGCTCCTCAGCAGCTGTTCAACATTCCTGCTGGGGGATTCTCTTTGGAATTTCTGGATCAAGTTCTGTTCACTTAAGATACTTGCCTGTAATTCRAGGAAGCCTGAGAAGCCCTGCTCCTGACGGGAAGAGCTCTCGGGATCAGGAAGGTAAAGAATCTTTAATGTTGAAGTCGCGAGGGTTTTTATGGGGCCAGGTACATTGCAAAACTAGCTCCACRGCTCCCTTCTCTCGCCAAAGCGTGACCATGTTCGGAATGAGCAGTGCAGCTATGAGCAAAGTCTGCGGCAGGGGGCAACACTGAACAAACCTGAGCTCAAATTCCAGCTCTGCAGGCGCCGGGAGCAAGTCGGAGCAGGCCTGGAGCCTCAGCTCGGCAAGAGGGAGGATCAGTTTCCACAGGCCAGAACGCCTTTGGGAGCTGTTTGTCTCCGTGCAGGCACATTACAGAGCCACTAAGACACTGCTATTACCACCGGGGCTGCACATGTAATGGCAGTAAGGACAGGCAGTAAATTTATAATAATTTCACTTGCAGACTTACTGCAGCAAGCCTCACTCTTTGCAGTGCTGCCCCTCTCTCTTTAAGGCTCTTTCCCATGACCTGTTTTACCACAACAGCATTCCAGTTTCTCCTCGAGCATTTCCCCTCTCCCTCTTTGCAATGTGTATTCCCTGCTCTTTTCCCTTCCCTCTTGCATATAGGGCTTTTCAGCTTCAGATGCCTAACGGATGACGCAAAATCAGCACAGTTTAGATACAGAAGACATCGTCCAGTCGCCAGACCAGCTTAAGCTGGAGGGAGACGCGAGAGCATTTAAGGAGCTGGACCAATGGATGGAGAAACAAGCGCCCTGCAATTTCAAGAGCACGCAATCAAACATGCTTCAACAGAGCCTCACTTCCACTCCCTCCTGGCTTGCGAGCACCTGCCTGTTGATGTTCTCTGGCACCACAGTCCCCTCCAGGGACTCTGATTCCACAGTACCTACTGCTCCAGGCTCACACTTAGCTCCGTGCTTGGAAACGCTCCCAAACAGATACTCTGTTGAATATCTCTCCCCTCAACAGCCCCAGGTGGGTTTCARCAAAGGGATAACTGGGAAACTGCAAAGCACAGAGTGGTTTGTAACAAAAGCAGTACCGGGGCTGAGGAAGAAGGGAAAGCTGAGTTTTAGCAACCAGATGATTGCTCATTGAGGAGGCAGCTTCCCAGCCTGCAGTTTGGAGCTCCATTAGTTGCGGTGTTAGATGGTATCATGTTTCTACACTTGTGAAAAGAAAGGTTCAGAAACAATCCTCACCAACACAAGCATTTGCTGCAGCAAGCAAGAGAYCTGCTCCTGGGGATCACATTAGGAAGTCGGTGAGCAAGGTGCTAAGCATGACCCTGGCTCCAGGGCCACAGACCAACGCCACGCTGAACAGGTCTTTAGGACRCATCAGCAGCTAATGCACACAGCAACAAATATCACAGACACAGAGCTCAAGACTCACCTGGAACCCTGGATCGGAGGAAGTAAAGAAACTTCCCATTTTTTGAGTGCATGATCGCTCTCTTTATGAACTCCACCACAGACTGGCAGCGGTCTTCAAATTTGGGATGGCACCACAGACTGAAGGTCCCTTCCAACAGAACAGAAAAGACTTCATGTTACAGGAAATGCTGAAATGGGTTTCCATAGTTTATGGCATAATATTAATATACCTGCTTCTCTGCAGTAATCTATCAACACCCCTCTTCACTTCTCTAATACAAAAACTTCAAGCCCACGTCAACAGCTACTTAATAACCAGGGGTTCAAATGCTCAAGCTCTCTTCTTGCAACCCTACTGCTGTAGGGATTCACTTTCATTTCAGAGCAGAAGCAGTCCCATATTCTTGCAGACTTTTTCCAAGTGTCTTACTTAAAATTATTCTGAAGCTAGAGCCAGGGATGGAGAAACACCAACACAATCCTCCCCTACATGCATTAAGCTTAAGCAGCAAGCAATGGAACTGGGGAAAGGCAACTGGGGAAAACAGGCTCTCCAACCTGTTTCGAGGTCTCTAAAGGGGATGGTTCAAGCCTCCTGTCAGATTGCTCAGGACCTGTGCTGGACACAGACTCCCCCGTCTCTGCACTTGCAAAACGCTCCCTGTGCATTTTGCCTCCCCTTCTGTCTGCACAAGAGCCTGAGTCAAGAACGATCCTCACRATGTGGGATCTACTGGATCCAGCAGCACGGACAGGAGCCAACACAGAGCACAACTTCACCAGGAGAAGCGAAACAGAAGCCAGGGGCTGGGTTTCAGACGGAGCCTCTCGGGCAGCCCCACGGGAGCTTGGAGCCTGCTGGAGGGCAGATTCCAGCTGCACAGCTCACCCGCCTAAGCGCCCCGGCTCCAAGCCAGGAAGGCAGCAGAGCGACCTTGAAAACCCCATGCAAAGCCTCACGCTAAGGAGAAGCTGCAACCAAATTACAAGAGCAACCAAAGTACAAGAGAGCCCTGGGACYTTGGGGCTGAGGAGCTCCCCCAGCAGCATCACAGCACCAGTGTGTTACAGGAAAAACTACGAAACAATTTTGTGAAGCATCCAGAGCTTGTGGCTTTGTAGTACGGCCAGCAGCCAGCTCTAGAAGGGCCACACACAGCTCATTAAGTTTTATCTGCACTTGTTATCCCGCAGTCAGATCCAGAAGGCTGTACTGGGAAAGGTGCCTCTCGCTCCCATCACGGACCAGTTTGTGAACAGTGATCCATTTAACACTTGCTAGGCATTTGGGATCAGGAAGCAAGGGCAAACAAGGAACTCTCCCTGGGGACCAGTGACCCCAGATCTGATTACATCTCCCGGTCACTTCTAAGGGCTCAATGGACAGTCACTACAGGGTGGTAATGTTACCAACCCAAGCAACTGGCTCCTCTCTCCAACCTGCCTGCTCAGCTTTCCTAAAAAAACAGTCGTCCTAGTTTCTGCCTCCCATCTACCTGAAACCTGAAGGTCAAGCACTTATCTATTCACCATTGCCTAGCCCCACCATTTGTCACCTTCACTGGTTTATCAAAGTGCTCAGCTCGGCAGTTTTCCACTCGGCTGCAGCACATTCAGCAGGAGGCTGAGGTGGGAGCATGGAGCTGCCAGCACGGACTAAAGCACCGGATCCAAGAAGGAAATCCCTGGTTCACTGCCATGACCTGGAATGTTGCTCTGGAGAAGTTGGCAGCACCAGCCTTCAGCCTGGGCAGGCCACTAGGGCAGAGGAGCTCCTGCAGTGGAAACATCCTACATCTAAAATAAGAAAGCTAAGCAGCAGCAGAGGAAGCTTATGGAAGAATATCCACTGTACAAACGGCTTCTGTAAGGACAGATGGATGAAAAGTTCCCTCCCCTCTTACGCCACGGTGAAGGGCAGAGGGAGGGCTCTGAAGAAAGGTGCCCCAACATTAATTTTACCAGAGGGCTTCTAAAAGCATTGCCAGATTTATTAGCCCCACACCAGTACCCCTARGGCGAGGGCAAAAAGGTGAAAAGGGATGAGCTTTGCTGAGAGAGGTTGTGAACACCAGTTTCTCCAGGAGACTCGCTGGGAAGCCTTGGAACCCATTAATTGCAAGCCCATTTAATGAGGGTTACACAGGCACCTATTACTAAAGCCTGCCCACTGGTTACAAGGCAGATGCAAGAGTYCTGATACCACCTTCTCCTGCTGCACGGGGCCTCTTGGGCATTTTCCCTGGCCTCAGGACAGCTGTGTGCACAAGAGTTCAGTAGAAAAGACGACATTTGAAGATGAGCAGAAAGAAAAGCGTGTGGGTGAGGTGAGAAGTGTCCCACGTGAAAGACTGAGCCCAGCAGGAAGAAAGCGGGCAAACAACATGCAAGAGTTCTCAGAACAAAAAAAACCACAACAGTGGAACCCAGACCTCAGCCTGGGACCACAGAACAGCTGGTGCCGCTGCTGAGCATCTCCTGGACAGTGTTCAGGGGATAAACAAAGGGAGCTGACAAGACATCACGTCAAGAAATCTGTCATTTCGCATGGAAATGAGCTTCACTTTGGGAATCATTGACAGCTACAAGTGACGGACTTCACTGCACGTCACCTCGCAAGCACATGGGATCTCAAAAGCCTCGTAATTACTTCAAGGCCAGTTTTCCAAAGCAAGGCACCAAGAGAGGCACACAGAACTCTTGTACTGGCCAGTTTTTCAGAGGTATAGAGCTTATAAACAGATTCATGCTGCCCGAGGCATTAACACCTGAAGTCAAGTACATATTCTAAAGCCTCTTGCATAACTAGATACACAGAAATACATATATTRCTGCTGCTTCCCCTTTTCCAGCATGTCTGGGCTCACTGTTTCAGGCCCCACATTTCAGAGCGGAGCACGGGCAGGCTCCTGGTGGGCAGCAGCATCCCAGGAAGCCCTCGCAGTTCTTACCTCTATAATGCTCCATGCGCGTGTGGTGGGTGATGCCCTGCGATCGGAAGCTCAGGCTCAGGATGTACCGGGGGTCGGAACTGTCTCGGACCAGAAAGGAGCCGTCTGGCTTCCCCTTGAGCTTCATCTCTGCATCCTCCCAGTTCATAGGTCCCCAGTACCAGCCACACTGCCAAAAGAAAGAGGTGGTCAGAATGCCACAGGACTAYGAGCAAAAACGATTTTAACAGCAAAGATGCAAAGCAATTTGCTCAATAATCCACTCTAAGTGTCCAAGAGTGGTTGAATCGACCCAGGAGCATCAATGTTCAGGACTCCTCCACCAAAACCCTACCACACTCCCGAAATCCCCGACACYGACATTCCTTCCCACACACACCAAAATGCTTTCCTGAGCTCAGCAGCAATGACCTCCCTGGCAGAAAGCTAGAGGCTTTCTTTTGTCCTATCCTAATCTTACACTTCCAAGCCTATTAAAAAGCTCACCAGTCCCCAAAAGTTGACGCGGGGCCTAGTCCTGCAGCCTAACAGGGTACCTCTTCCCTCAGGGTCCCGCTCCGCTGCCCCAGCACCGTGTCACCGTTACCTTCTCCAGCTCTCGCAGGCTGGCCGCGAAGCTGCTGGCGTCGGGGCGGTAGAGGGGACACTGCAGGTGCGGGGCGGGCTGGCTGGGCGCCGCCTCCACCGGCCGCAGAGGGACGATGCGCGGGAAGGCGTCTGCAGAGGAAGAGACAGGAGCGCCACGGTCACCAACACCACGCCGATGCTGGGCTTGCAGCTCTAGGTCAGGACAGAAGGAGCAGAAATGCAACGCAAAGAAAAGCACGGGCTGACTGATGGGGATGGTGTCCTTGCAAGGGACACTGGGCATCGCTGTCTGGCTCTTCCAAAGTGACTAATTCAGGGCCTTCATCTGCTATTTCTTTGTATCAGAGGGAGGGAAGTGCCAGGCAGCATTGGCTGAAGGGAATTAAAATACATGCCAATATCTTAGGAGCCTAAAATAGGGGGTAATTAAAACCGCTTGGGTCCTGAAGGATAGGAAACCACCTCATGTTCCATTTATTTGGACTATGCAATATACTGGCTGTCAAAGCTGGGGGTTTGATCCTTCCAGATCCCTGAAGGGACAAACTGGAGCTTTGCTGCTACAGCTAAGCTGACCTGGGGCATGGGGTGGAGGAGGCGGAGGCAGAGGGAAAGACTGCAGGGAGGAGCCCATCGGACCCACTAGGACAGATGTAGGCAGCGTCCCACTGATATCATCTAGAAGAGAACAGAGGCAAGAGACATTCAGCAAACAGGAAAGCGAGCAAGCCCTGCGCTGCCGAGCACCCCGCAACACGGCACAGGCCACCTGGCCCTTGGCGCCGCTCGGCAAAGTGGAAGCTGGTGCTTTGCACCGCCAGCTCACGACCTTCCACGGGCTCCTGCGGGAGCGGGCAGCCGTTGCCACCGCAAGGGCTCGTTTCCAGGCCCCTCAGAGGCTCCCCCACACACACATTCACTCCCCAAATGCAGGATTCCCAGCGCAGCAGCCTGCGGCACAGCACASGGAGCGCTGGCCCGTCGCCGCCCTGGCACGCGCAGTCTACGGTGCCGTTTATTCAGGTTGATTTTATTCTTCCCAAACTCCTCCCGGGCAGAAAGGAGCCTCTTCCAGAGAGGGATGTAGAACAGCTAAGCCAGGCTCCTGGTATCCTCTCAAGGAGCAAACTACGGAGCACGGAAAGGAATCGTCCTTGCTCGGCTAAGCTAGACAGCAAGTTTCCAAAGGCAGGCTCAGCACAGGACACACTAGGAATGCAGCCTGTTAAACCCCTCATTGTACCGCTCTGTCACGAGCTTCCCCTCCTGGCTGACCYAAGAGAAATGCTGAAGGCTCCAACGAACAGCAAGGCACCCTCGGAAGGGAAAGCAGCCGTGTTGCTGGCTCGGAGGAGCAAGCAGCCAGGGCGCCTCCGGCCGCACGCGGCGCAGGCTCCGGCGCAGGGCACGCTACCTAGCAGGCTGAGGCTCCTCCGTGGCGGCGGCGGCGGCGTTGGAGGCTGCGGGGAGGTCAGGCCTCGCTGYGAGATGTCCACGTCCACCAGTGACACCGTCTCACCTGAGGGTGGTGGGGCAAGAGGGTTAGAGGGGACCCTACAGCAAGGGGCACGCAGGGCGAGCACACAGAGGGAAAAGGGCTGCGACTTGGAGAAATTCAGTTTCCAGCTTCCACCCAGAGGAAACATCTCTGGGGGATCTCACCAGCTGTTTTCAAATTGGGTTTCTCTGTTGTACCAATTCTGAGACATCCATCAGCTCTGCTACTGTAAGCCAAAGGCGAGGCCCTAACCAAGTGCCAGGCACACGGAAAAGATAAATATTGATAGCTGCTACTGAACCCAGACTGAATCTGTTATCATGGGACTGGGGTGAGGAAAGGGCTGCAAAACATTTCACCATCCAGTCAATGCGACACGCAGAGCTTCCTGGAAAGAAGCAGCAGGTACCACTTAATACCAAAATCTTTGAATYCGTGCTCCTACTAATTCCAAAAGGCATTTGCCTACAAGTACCGTAATCCAAAAGGAATACCCAAAAGCCTATGAAGGCAACATCTGTAAAGATTAATGATGGAGCTGGACAGGCTTTTTATCAAAAAGCTGGAACATGCCTGTGTGGACAGGTTCTGCACATGGGACACTGCTTGGGGGGAAAATAATGGCAGAGAAAGATGGGAATCTTAAAGATAAACCAAAAAGAAAAAGAAAAAGGAGAGAGAGAGAAAGTCACCAAATCTAGGCTAAAGCATCAGCTCTTGTGCTCTAGATATGGCAATACAGTTTCACCAGAGCTCTCGATAAGCACCYGACTTACCAGGCACTACTTAGGACAACACTGACTCAACTTCCCTCTGTTTATAAAAAGCCTATCTACTAATAAGCAAAGTTAAGAGATGTATTTAGGGCTGTTTGTCAGCTAAGGTAACCTATCCCCGGGGGGATTTATGGGTGTGAACACTGAGTCACTCTGAAAGTGAGTGAAGAGAGTCAGAGTGACCAAGAGAGCCTCACAGGCTGGTCCGGTCATTCCAAGGCCATCCCCCTTCAGTGGTCCCTGTCTGGGGAAGTCCAGCTATGCAGAAAAGCAGGGAAAAGGMAAAAAAAAAATCCCCAAAGCCTCTCCTACACGAAGCAGGGGAGCCAACAACCAAGCAGAGCAAATACAATTTGGACATGCRCTTTAGGAAAGCTGCCATGGTCTTCTGCAAGCAAAAGGCTCCTGGGAGGGCATTGCTATTGCCTTACAGAAACCAGCAGAAGTCATTTGAGAAATAGTCAATAAGATAAACTAACATCTAGTGAAATCCATGTCCCAAATTAAAAGCAGGGAGTCATTAATTTCAGGTTCTGCTCTGTAGTCTTCTCTGAAGATGTGCTTTGTACCCCAGTGCCACCGACACGAGGACGAGAGATTCTACACTCCCAGCCACCGCTCCCCTCCCCTAGCAACAGCTGACAAAATCTGGCAGCAGCTTTTGCTCTARTCAGCCTTGATTTGCTGAATAAACACACATGATGCTCACGAGAAGCCAGTCACATCACACACGGACCAAGTTCTCCGCACACTGCCCCACTACTGAGACACCAGCTGAAGGGACAACCAAGACCAGCACGGAGGGGAGAGTGGGAAGCACTACAGCTGGATTATCCCCAAATTACTGCATTTCTGAAGGACCCGAGTGAATTGCACAGCTGAAAAACAGTAGGACTCGATCACAATTGTTTAGTTATTGGCAAATCAGATGAAGGCTTTGCCTCAGTTTGAAAAAAATAAATGCTTTTTTTTCAGTTTGTGCAACTGAAAATACGCATAAAACATCTAAGGTCCTAAGTAAATATTTCAGAGAGGAATTTCCCGAGCAAGTCCCAAGCCTATGGCGAGGGCTGCCTGGACTGCACATGTATGTGGTGCAGAGCACAGCACGTGATGCACAAGTGCAACCCTCCTGCGCTTGCAGCTGCGAGTAGAGCAGGACTTCCCCGGGCAGCACTGACGAAGCAGGCGACTTCCCTGCAGCAGAAAGGGGAAGAAAAGCCACAGAAAGCGGGGCAGCTTGCAAAGGAGGAGCAGCAGCTGGACAAGGAGGTGCTCTTCCCCAAGCGAGGCTGGAATTCCCGCATTTACCCTGCGGCAGAAGGGCCGATGGAGGCACCTGGCATGCAGGGCTCTGTCTCACCTCCTTTCGAGGCTGGCACGTGCTCTGCATTGGTGCTACAGAGGATTTTCCAGCCCGCTTTGATACAAGGGGACCTGGTGAAAGACGGATCTTCACCTCCAGRATCGCACCTCAAACGAGCAATTCAACAGGAGAAATTGCAAAGCATCGATACCAAAATCGGGCACTTCAGTATTTGGTTGGTTTGTTTATTTTCGGCCAGGTAGAGCAAAAAAGGCATCTGCAGAGTTCCTAGCTTGCACATGGAAGCAGCAGGCACGTCACCTCTTTCTCGTTAAGCRTATAATGCCCTTTCCATAGCAAAATGAAATGCCATCCTGTACATCTTTCCCATTCTTACCTGTGAAGAGGGGGCTGAAAACAACCGGGGAAAAGGCACTTTGCGTTCTTGTCAGTCTGTGTTTCCTACAGGAAATAAAGAAACATCGTGAAGGGAGATGGGGAGACCCACGGATCCCAAAAGAGAACATCATTTGATTTTCTTAAATGAGGAGAGTCTTCACCATTTAGAGAAGTCAGAGATGGCCAAATTCAGCACGTGTATGCAGTTCCTAGAGCTTTGGCTTAAAGAGAACAATCAAGCAGTAAAGCTTGGTCTCAATCCTGCTACTAAGCAAATCTCTAACTAGCTAATTAATAAAGTCTTTGGAAAGAAAAAGCCCAAGCAAGTGCAGTAACTGGAGCCAAGGAGCTGTTTCACAACAGACCTCACACTATTTCTCTAGACCAGACATTGCCAAACGCCTTGGACAAGCAGGTTGGATCCCTGCTCAATTACAGACWGTGCCTCGAGCAAGCGCACGAGATGTCCTCGTGCCCGGGCTTTGTAGAGCGATATCATCATCCCAAAATGCTCCAAAATGGGAGTGAAGGGCAGGAAAGCAAAATCTGGAGTCACTGAATGGAGTCATTCAATCGGGGCTGCCCCTTTTGCCCACTATKTAAATAATCTAGAAGCCCTATTTACAGGCTGCCCAACCGCAGGGGGATTTTTATAGAGCAGATGCTGATCGTGAAGGGCTTCGAGCAAAACCGACCCCCTTGGCCTYGCGAGCTCCAACCTCACGCAAAGGTTCATCGCTGAAGCGGCAGCAGATGCACCCTGTAAACGGCCTCCCAAGCAAAACTCCATAAAACTGCCCGGGAAAAGGGGCTCTCACCTTCCAAGGGCATTGCACGGGATAAATGCAATCTCGCCAACCTACAGGGAGGAGAAATCCGAGCTCCGGTCTCACATGGCCACGCGACAAAGCCCCGTTTGAGCACACGGCACATGGGTGTGCCTTAATTTTCCCATGGGGAACAGCAAAGGCTTCTCTGCTTTCTAGCTAAGCAACTCCAGCAACTTCRCTGGGTCATAGAGCTGCGAAAAATAACATTTAATACCATAAGTTTGCTCMCAAGCAAAATAGAGAAAGCCTCATCACTCAGATACATAAATACCCACTAAATGTTCAGAAGTGTTTTGGTTTTAAGCTTGTTTGAGGGTTTTGCTCCCAGATGAGCAGCATCGTGCACCAGCTGCACGTGCACACACAAAATTGCATTTCTGGACTAATATCAACTAGTCTTATAATCTAGTAGCAGGTTTTGTTCCTAGACACTAAACCACACAGCAAAGAGAATTGCTGTTATCAAAACCGCAATAGCGTGCCAGTGTTTTATGGCCATTGACAGACTCCTATGATTTCTCATTCCAGCAAGCTCACATCTGCAGCAGGCTGAGAGCGAGAAATAATTCACGTGAATTGAATCCTCCACTTCACAACTCGGGCTCTGCCAAACTCCGCTTCCTCTTCCTGCCTTCAAGTCCTGCCGCCACCTCCGAACGCTGCTGAACACCGCGGATAAGTAATTAAGTGCCAGGCACAACCTCCACACGTGGATTTTGCTCACGGTTCATACAGCACAGAGGACTAGCAGGAACCCCCTGGGGCTCTATCAGTGAAGGATTTGGGGGGCAGATACCCCGAAATTCTGCAACCTCCAAGGCAGCCACCTCGGGGACCTGTTGGCTTCACTCATTCTGCAGCAATGCTTTAAAAGCCATGGCGAGTCTCAGCCAGCCATGCAGACTGGCTATATGGTACTTTACACACAGGATAACAGGGGTCTTTGTTAAAAAGCAGAAGACGCAGTCATCAATATTGGCAGAGCAATGCATTTACAAGACCTGGGCACCAATCTGGTGACTGGCAGGCGGCAGCAGCCCAGCTGCATCTGTGCAAATGCCTGACACTGCTCTGCCCGCTTCCTCTCTCCCTCCGATCACCCCAACAGTCCAAAGTGCTTCCAAAAAGGCAGTTTCACGGATGCAATATTTAAATACCAACACTCAAGTCCAGCGAGGGAAGCCCCAYGTTTTAGTTTCAGTCAAAGTCTCTTGCAGCTCAGCAGAACCCAACTATTGATTTTTAGCTAATTGTGCAGTTTTCCTTTTAACTTTTGCTACTTGCAGCATACAAAGCTGCACGGTGCTGCCTCCAGAAGGGACATAGYTCTGGGCACCAAACAGAGGTAATTCTGCTTCTTGGTAACACTTAAAAAACATCCTATCTGCCCTCTGGAAGAGGCAAATTGCCCGTCTCCAACAAGAGGCTTGGGTGGACATCCTGCAGCCCAAACCTCCAGCTCCTCCTGGTCTCCAGCACRAGGGACCTCAGGAAACGGGAAGGGGCAAAGAGGCCCCAGACCCTCCCCAGCTGCTGCACAAGGCACCTTGAAGGAACCTTTGCTCAAACACTGCCCAATTAGCGCAGCAAAACCCGGCAGCCCCGAGGGGCGAGACGCCAGCGCTTGCGCCGGCRGCGACCATCACGCTCCGCAGCAAGGAGAAGCAGCCGGGCAGCAAGACGGTTCACTTCTGCTCCAAATCTGTTAAGACATAATTGCCAATTCGACGTCACCTAATTTCAACACCGCGCTCCCCAAGGCTCCTCGCTGTTGTCAACAAGAACAAGGGATGAACAAGCCGCGGGAGCATGAGCAAAATATTATGTCATGACGGGCAGCTTGACTCGCTGCCATCCGAGGCTCAGCCTGGCACTGGGGACAGGCGAAGCTCCTAAGTCACAGGGGAAAACAGCCCCAACGTGCTGCCCACAAACCTGCCACTGTCCCTCGTCGTTCCCTGCTTTGAAAGGGGTCATTCCAGCTGCTTGGTTTCTATCTCCTGGCATCTCCAGGAAAAAATAAACAGGGAGATGCCATCCAAAAATCCCTGCATTGGCAAGCAGCCGTACTGGGAGAATGCTGGGCTCAGATGTGCAAAGTCTGGTTAATTTAATGCTGGCTAGAAASAGTCACTTAGACCTCCATCCCTCACCCTTCCTCCATGAGGAACCCTATTTGGTCTGCTGGAAATACTAGAGCAGTAGCAAAAGTTTCTGTAAGTCCAGCTTGAAATCAGCCCCGAGGAGGGCGCCCGGGTAGCCGGTAACGCAGCACCGGGGCAGCACTTCACCCTCCGCTACGGCACCAAGCGGCTCAAGGCATTTGCCCAAACACACGGCTTTTGTCCCCAGCACGGGGCTGGCGCGGGGAGAGCAGCCAAGGGCTCCCGGGGCCTGCGGGTGACGGGCAGGGGACAAGGGGGCCTGCACGGTGCCACCAGCAYGAGGAGGATTAAGAGGAACTTGCTCAAAACGCAGTTTGCACAACCGAGCCAAACTCCGCGCTTCTCTAAGCGCCTCAGGAAATCGGGGCCAGTTCAGTCAGTTTCAAAACTGCAGGATTTTTAAAGAGGGACTGTGGAAAGCGCTGGCAGCGCCRGGCAGAGCAACACGATTTCGGCAGCGCTTCAAAGCTGCTGATGGAGACAACTCGCTGGCTGGCTCTGCCCCGGGACCAAGTGCCAAAACACTCACCCGGCCACAGCTGCCAGCRAGGGGCGGCTCTGAAATCCCTGCCGCTTCCCAGCTCCGGCACCAGCCGCAGCCAAGGGCGAGGGAGCGGACAAGTGGGCACCCAGGCACCGCAGCCAGAGCCCTGCATCCCACCCATCCCCATGCCATCCCACCCATCCCCATGRCCAAGCCTGGGATGGATCCCTCCAGGATCCAGCAGGGCCTGTTTCTGCCAAGGCCCACTGCAAAGGACAGCGGGAGAGAACGCCGGCATTCCCAGCTGCACCTCAGCGTTTCAAAGGGCATCCCCCGGGATCTGCTGCTTCCTGGCCCAGGCGGCACCTGCAGCGTCCCCAGGGCCCCGAGCAGACCTGGAGCTAAGAACCGCTCCCGCGGCGGAGGCTGCAGAGGCGGCCGCTCCCCCGGCTCGGGGATGGGAACCGCGGAGCCTTCGCCTCCCAGGGCTGCTCCCGGACATCCGTGCGGCCCTCTTCCTGGTGCCCTTCCCAAAGGGATGCATTTCTCGCCTGGCTGGCTCCTGCRGGCTCAGGCTCTGCTTGTGGACCGGGAGCGTTCGACGGCTGCTCCRAGAGGCCCCGGCATCGCTTGGGAGCGGAACAAGCGCCGGCCTCCGTCCGCGGCCTCCTCTCCCCCGTGTGCCCTGCACAAGGGTCCAGCAGCCCCCGTCTCCTTCCTCCCTCTGCGGCCTTCAGGGACCCCCCGGGCCCCGCACGGGCTCCAGCCGCGGTCCCGGGGGCCCCGCCGGGCAGGACGCCGCTCGCCCGCACGGACACYGTCCCGGAGGCAGCCGACCAGCCGCGCGTCCCCCGCAAAGCGCCGCGACCGCCGCGCCGCGGAGACCCCCGCCGCAGCCCCGACCTACCTGCCGGTGTCGGCGCCGCGCGC